GGTTATCATTTACAATATTTGTTTAATATATCATAGATCTAGACAACCTGCAAGATTTAAACAAGTCATTGTCAAGTACGTCAAAGACGTGCGCATGGCCGTGTAAAAGCAATCTACTATTGCCTCTGCGAATATCCTTGACTTGCACCCAGATCGCATTATTGTACTGAGTCCAGAAGTCCAGAGGATCCCATAAGCTCGTAAACCGCATAAACCGCACGTATACACGCACGTGACACGCGAATTTACGTAAGATCATAATATTAATAATAATAATAGGTACGGAACAAATAATACGAATTCAAATACACAAAATTAAAGCGGTGAAAATCGTTTCCAAAAAGACCAAATGGAACGATACAACTCCTAATTAGTGCGTGAATTGGTTCCAAACATAATATTGAGCTGTGCCGCCCGAAATCTACGTTTGATAAGCTTATTACGGCCACAAATGTTCATGAAATTAATTAGTACGGTCCCTCATAACCGCTCACGGGTCCTGTGGTCTAAGTGATGAGAATTTGTGTAGAGTGCTTTTCATTAGCCTAAAATAATAGACATAAAAAGACGGTCGATGTAAAACTCGAATTTAAGTTTGTTGAGAATTGTATAATTTATTACAGGCACTCTGAAACCAGATGTTAGAAAGAAATATCTGTAGCGGTTTATAAATAACATGACATTATCTGTCTATCACAGTCCGCTGCTGGACTAGTGCTGTTCCCAATGAGCGCCATTTTACCCGGTTCTCAGCTTGTTGCATCCACCAGCAGGCTTTCGCAGATCGTCATTCCATTAGGCCAGAGGGCCTTGCACAACATTTGCTGAACTGTGGTCTCCACTCAACTCGCTTCTCTCATCGGTTATCGGTTCTTTGACAGTTTTGGCTAGCCCACTGCCACATTAGCTTCCTATTCTGCCAGCTTGGTCGACGACCTCGAATAACCTCATTTTGTATCTTGTCCTTCAGAAAAAGTCCAAGCAGAGCCGCTCCTGGTGTACATACTGTACCCTCCCTATTTTCCAGATAGGTAAGGTTTTGATTTGACAGTCTGGGAAGTTGTTCCCAATATGTGACATAATCTGTTAAAGAAAATAACACAAACTCACCGTTGGTCAATCAGCGTCTGTCGTGGCTACCGTCAAAAGTTAAAAAACCATCCAGCTACAAAATTAAGGTCATACAAGCAAGTGCAGCATGGATTGTGTTGAGGCATCACCGTCACATCGCACTAGACTGACCTCCCTGAAACCCCACTTATCATAATGTGGCCTTAATATAACACAACCTTCATGCCCTAGTACGTGTACGAGGGAAAAGCTCTGTGTGGCCATGAATACCAAAGTCGAAGTGACAACATACTAATCAAAGTCAGTATAGTCCTGAAATAAAGGAAGAATCGACAGAAGAAGCACTAATAAAATGGCACAAAGTGTACACAATCACGCTCATATCAAAATCTTGTACCAAACACAAAAATATGAAGTGACATTACCGGTAAATTTGTAAAGTACTATTATTCTCTCCTTTAAATCAATGTGGTGCTAACAAAAACGCATTGTGTGCTTACTTTACTATTATAGTACAACAGCACGAACGAGGGTTAGTTTGTTGGAGTACGAAAAAAAAAGGATCATTGCGTGGAGGATTCCACCTATTTTTTTTTAATTAATGAACATCATATTAAATTTTACTTTTTTTAATATTAAGTTAAATAATGTAATGTTGTTGATATGTTTGTACATAATACATACGTGTTTTGTAACACGTACGTAAACTATCGTTAGCCCAAATTCCCATCTAGGTAAACAATGAAATATACTGAAAGGACTTAAATGAGCATATTACCTGTGAATCTCGAGACATTGCAATTAAATTTAATATATGCTCATTATTTTTCATATTTTACAATGTTACTACCATTTTTTTTGTAGTATTATTGATTACGTTAGACGAGTTGAAATATTGTATATTTATTTAATAATAATTAGATAAATCACTTATCACTATTTTATGAAGCACATAAATAACCTTGAGTTTAAGAAAAAAACTTGTGGTCTTTAGGAAAACATAATACACATCACTGGGCCTAACTACAGGCCTCCAGATTCACTCAAAGGCCATATTGAAATATGTTTTATACAAATAGTAGATACACCAAATGCTATATTTGTTATTAGGCACGCGAAACAACTACGTAATAAACTGGTTAAAATAAACGTTTACGTATGACAACCAAACCATAACAAATAATACGTAACGCATTTAATGACTGTGCTGAATATATTTTTCATCGCAACTATCCTTTTCAAGTCTAACGTCAATTTCACAACAATAACACCAACAGCCACACAACGCTATCGTTATGGAAACCCTCTTGTACATTTGACACCATATTTATACCCCAACAAGGGGATATATTTTGATAAAGACTTTACACGCTTGCTGTATATACGCGATCGGAATAACCGCACAAGGATCATTAGTTATGAGCATCGTCAGCCGCCTACTCCCAACCCATTGCTAGATTTACTCATAGGAGTCGGTCAAGGAGCCCTTCTTAGTCCAATGTTTGCTATTCGTACAAATAATACATTTCACTATACATCTATAAAAATCTACCAATTTTGGTTTTTACAAAATTGGTATAATAGTACTTCCCAAAATTATTTTGTACGTGTGTTACTTTCAGTATGTGGTAGTTGGTATGTAGTTTACCAAATCTTACCAGCCTGAGGGTTGAAATTCCGTGACTTTTCTCTATTAGCTCAATTAACCCAATAAATATAGAGTCACAGTCGCTTAATAGGCATTACAATAATCGTATATAACGTGATATACAATATTTTTTAACGCGATTCCGTCGTACTTCAAGATAAAGCACTGTAAGTGCGTAGTGGCACGCTTTGCGAAAATAGTAATACATTTTTTTTCTACAGGTTGAAAGATAGTAATGACTTGGTTGCACGGAGTTTTTTAATCTAAAGTTAGTGCGGGATAGTAAAACTTTATAAAAGCAAATGAAATGTATAATTTGTATAAATAACAAACATTGGACTAAGAAGGGCTCCTTGATGGACTCATATGAGTAAATCTAATAATGGATTGGAAGTAGGCGGTTGACGTTCGTCATAACTACTACCTTAGTGCATTAGAAACATAATTATGCAGTTTTCTATTTAGTGCCTTTAAATTTATCTTTAATTGCAATAAGGCAGAATAATTATTAAAACAATTTTAATCAATTTAAACTTATTTTCTGTAGTTAGCATTTTAAATGGAGAAATAAAAAAGCCAATCATCATCATCACCCCATTTATACGTCTCACTGCTGGGAACAGGTTCTCCTCTCAGGCGAGGGTTTAGACCATGTTTTCCTTCACAGAAAACTCACGGTAAATTTCAAATTAAATTTCGCACATAAATCTCGAGAAACTCAGAGATGCGAGTCTGGATTCGAACCCACGGCCTCTGTTTGAGAGACGGTAGGTCAAACAATTAGGCTGCCACTGCTTTTTAGACAATATTAAATAAATTTTATTGTTCCTATACCTTCATTTATACGCCTGTTTCCCATAGAAATCCTTTTTGTTATCAAGTAAAATAAATACATTGCAGATAAAAGGTTCCTTTCATGTATTTGAAATTTCCTTTGCCTTTATCTGCCTCTGCAAGGGTTAACAAATGGTAGCAAAATTTCAGAAGAGTTAGCACATTAGAATATGAATGAGAATGGACCTCATATCGTATTCTCATATTTGCGGACCAAGTACTATTCCCTGCGGAACTCCGTTCCGTTTGCATTTTATTTTAATATTTTTTTCGGGTCAGCAGCAATATGACGGAATTTTTTGTGGTTTGATACAAGAGACTAATGTATAGCGTTAAAATATGCTACCAGATAAACATATTTCTACTATTTAGCATCCTTTACAGTGCGGAATATTATCTACTAAAACAAAACAGAAGCATAAAGAAATAAAAATTATATGAGTGCAATAGCAGTGTCACTTTTACATTTTGATATTTTATTACAGCTTCTATAATTTAACGAAAAATATTACAAAGCAGTAATACTAAACCATTTATTAAATAATAACTTTTTTATGAAAGAAAAAGCGACCAGAAAAGTTTGTGGAATTAGTTTTATTAAAATCGGTTAAGGCTCAATTTATGTTGCGGAGGAAAGGAATGGAAGCGAAGTCTTGTAACTATATTGTACATAGCATAATAAACTTTCAATCTAATTCAAAGGTCAATTGTATAATGTACTAGATACGAGCCAAAAATCAGATCGCGCGTCTCACGCGAAATTTTCAAGAATACTGAGGTATCCTCAAAAAATGAATCATCAAAATCGGTTTGCAAATGTTCGCTTAACATACCTACATAAAAAATACAGTCGAAATGAGAACCTCCTCCTTTTTATAAAGTCGGTTAAAAATAGTTTCATTTCATCGTGAAAACGCAAGAACTCGATACAATTAATAAAAAACAGTCTCCAAAACGTTATTTATAAAATTATAAAATAGAGGTTAGAAGTGGATTATTTTTTTGAAATCTAAATAAGTCCAATACTGCGGTACCCTCTTTCCAACAAAAAAGAATCATCAAAATCACTTCACAAATCACGAAGTAATTGCGTAACATAACACAAAAAAATATCGTCGAATTCAGAACCTTCTCCTTTTTTGAAGTCGGTTAAGAAATTATTCGCAAGTAAAGATGAAGGTCAAGCGAAAGCATATTTCGCGTAAAGTTATTAGTTAGATCGTGTTTATTTTGCTTTTGTTTACAAACTCATTAAAGGGCAGGCACTCCGGTGATGGTTTGTTGACTGGTCCTTGCTGACCTCGAGCGCAAATGTCAGCTTCCTGGACATCAACCTTACACCGGTTCGTGAAACGAGATCGAGATTACTTTCTAGTACTGTTTCTTTATTCTTTCTTTAGAACTGAAATGTATAAATAGCGTACTCAATATTTGCTTGACATCAGTCGCTTCCAGTTAGTCGACAGTTACAACAATGTTCAAGTTTGTGGTATTGTGCGCTTTCGTGGCGGTGGCGATCGCCGAACCTGAACCCAGTTCCCTGATCGCCCCGTATGCGCCCCTGGCGTACACCTCGAGCTTTATAGCTCCGGCCACCACTACCATCACCAAGACCGCCAGCAGCGTGGTACACCCGCCCTACTACTACCCCGGATACGCTGCCTACTCGTCACCTTACTATCCACACTTCATAAAGAAGCGCTCGGCGCCCCTGGCCTACGCTAGCAGCTACATCACACCTTCGACCTACTACACATCAGCTCCATTGATCGCTCCCGCCTACTCTACCTACTCTGCGCCTCTTCTGCACAGCGCCCCTTACATTTCTGCGCATCTGCCCTATGCCGCCCCTGCTCACTTCATCAAGAAGAGGTCTGCTTCCCTGCTTCCTTCCACCTACATCGCGCCTACTACTACTTACTACTCCCCTTACTACCCCTCATATTACCCTTCCCTCTACTCCTCCTACTACCCCTCATATTACCCTTCCCACTACCCCTATTACCCCATCAAGAAGTAAACGGTTCATGCAACTAAGTAAAAGTATTTACATTCGAAGACAAAAAATTTTAACTACAACATTTGCAAATTATATAGTAACCTAATGCCAATAACAAGGAACTCCTCCGTAGTGATCTTCAACCGTTCTTTCAATTGATTTTGTATAACTGCTACTGTACACCACTTCATCAAAGTTGTTAACCATTTAGATGTTATGTGCAATTTCCTTCTAGTAGTAATTACAGTCATATACATAGAAAATCTCGATGCAATAAAAGTTGTAAATAAATATATTATTCTTTAATTTTATACTTCCATAGCACAATTTGGTTTCAAATGTATTTACATTCTGGAATTACTTTTACTTCTAATTTGGTTTTCTACCTTTAGTTTCGTGCCTAAACAAGGAAAAACTAACGATTACTCTGTTGTTGGAAATCCATGTTTTGTGTTAAAACCTTTTTCCTTTCAATTGCAAAGTTTTTAAGTTTACATCATATCATTGGTTACTTTTATAAGATCTGCGATACAGAACGGTTTGACATTCGTTTTATGGTGGCACTTGACATGGCTATTTGTGTTTGCGTATTTGATGTAATTGGCAAACAACTGCCAGGTGTAGATAGCTTGCGTGACAAGGTATTTGCCTTGTTTGCCTATTCGACAAATACGGCGAGCACCACACACGCGTCACCGCGCGCTTGGCTCCATGTGTAGGCTGTCATATTTGTTTGTGTTGTTTGTGCTGCATGTTTGTCGGTACGTCATATACTTTTCCAAGTACATCGAACACCCAATAGCGAATACAAGTGGCCATGTGAAGTGCCGCCATTAAATCCCTAGCGTTATAATACTGTACCCAGTAATTTTTTTTTCTGTTGGGTTTCATCATATTAGCTTATACACATCCACTACAGGATACAAGCTCCCTCTGAGCACGCCAACTCTCAGGTCGTCGTCCATTATGCCGCAGGGTATCATGCAGACATGACCGGCCCATTGTCACTTCAGGTGACCGATTTTGCGAGCTATGTATATAGTATATTAGTAGTTAGCTATGTCCATCAGAGAAGCATCTTCTTGAGGTTCCTCTCCTGTCGAACGTTAGACAATATCATGGCAATCCTGACTTTAGAGGCTACTGGATGATAAACTGGAGTGATTTCTACTTATTGTTCTTCATGATGTGGCCGAAGTATGACATCTTCCTGCGCTTAATGGTGTTTATAAGCTCCACTTTTTTCTTCAGTAGTTTGAGTACTTCTACATTTGTAAAGTCAAAAGTCTCGAAAGCCTCCAAGCATAGCTCGCTTCGTTACATTTTTGGACGAAGACTGTTGAGCCTTTATTGAATGAAACGCTTTCCTCTTGTTATTTTAACCACACCATTACAGGCTGCTGACGCACGGTTCACGAGTCCATTGTGAACGCATTTTATTTGACCTGTTTGTTTCCCTCGAACTCTTTAAATAGGACAAGTGAAGCCTCTATGTTGATGCCAACTGAAAAGTCCTATACAACGGTTTTAAATATTGCTTTATTATTACATTTTTAGCGAATGAGGGTTATTAAGAGCGTACCGGGTGCAGTACTAGCTCAGTACGTTAAAAAATTTGCAGTAAAGCTCCTGGTGTAAGAGTTGGCCCAGGGAAGTATTGCTACCTGAACTATTTATGCTACCAAGTAATAATGGGAGTATTACGACAGGTATTACTGCGTTCCGGTTTTGAAGGGTAAATGTGCTAGTGAACTTACAGCCACATGGGACTTGTCAACTGTCGACTTGGTTCAGGGTGACGGGTGTAGTGGCAATGCCCCCAGATCTTTGTGATTTAAAGCTTTTAGGGTCGTAGTCCAGAACTCTACTCAATACTCAAGTCAGGACTTGAGTATTGCAGTGAGCACTGAAAATCATTCTCAAGTCCTTGCCATTAGGGTCGTATTTCCAGTGCTTGTGTTTCCAGTGCAATCCTGACTTGAGCATTGAGTAGAGTTCTAGAATACTACCGTTAGTGGCACTGCAACTGTTATAGTCAGATGTGTCGCATACGATTTACTCCTCCCGTCACTTGTTATAATAAAAAATCATTAAAAAGCTTCGCAGTTTTTCCTTAAATAATAATCATTAATACAAGGGATAAAACAAAAAAACTTTTTTTATTTATTAAAATATTTTTGTAGAAACAAATAAAATTGTAAGCACTTTTAAATAACTAGTTTTATAAGGCATTAAATAAGGGAGATAATATATTTTTGATAAATTTCACAACCGATCTGATTATTAAAACTTTTGGAATATGTCCATAAACTGTATACAATGAAACGCTGTGGCGCCTTCGTGCGCCCTCTAGCTGTTTTTCATGTACACATATATAAAAGATATACAATTATATAATACTACCTACCGAATATTAAAGTTGTGTAGAAGAAATAAAGACGAAAGATAACAAACACAAAGCAAACAGAAACAAAACAGAAGAAAAAGAAAGAAGAAATTAAAGACACAGTCAAAAAAATTCAAACGTTAGACACAAATAAATAATTACGAAACAAAATCGCAAACAAAACAAAAATAACATAAAATTAAAACACATATTATTCAGATAAACAAGGGACCCTAAGTAATAAAGATACTTTGTGCGATGCCAGCTGCGGCAACAAAAGGAACAATTGTATATTTATAGATAGGAATACATAACATAACGTAAATAGTGCTTTATACGTGAGGCGCACTATAATTTTCCGGAATGAATAAGAAAATAATACCATAAATGGTCAGAAATGAATTTATTGTTTCTCAAAATATTCTCCGTCAGTGTTAATGCACTTTTTCATACGAATGAACCAATTTTGAAAATATTTATGCCACTCCTCTGTGACAATTTCTGAAACATATTTTTCATACTCTTCGACAGCCTCTTCAGGTGACGAAAATCGTTGACCACGTAACTAGTTCTTAATTTTTGGAAATAAATAAAAGTCATAAGGTGCCAGGTCGGGATCGGGGTCAACGTAGTTCACCTTCAAAAATTCATTTGGCTGTCTGGCCGTGTGAGAACTGGGATTATAGTGGTGCAAATTATACGGCGTTTACGATTATTTTTACGGAGTTTGTCAATAACTTCCGGCAAACAAATGGTCATGTACCAATCACTATTCACGGTACAACGATTCTCCAAAGCAACAGTAGCCACGTGTCCAGGTTTATTAAAAAAAGAAGCAATCATCCGCTTAAAGGCACTTTGCACGCGCGCCACTTTGGTTGATAAGCATGGCGTTGCACCAAGTGACGCGATCCGTATTTTGAGCCTCAGCCAAATTGTGTGGGATCCACCGAGAGCACAGCTTTTTCATACCCAAATGTTTGTGTAGTATTAATTGTTTTGACTCATGCCTATGCCTAAAGATGCCCGAATCTCATGGTATGTCACAAGCCTGTCTGTTTTGATCATACGGTGCACAGCATCGATGTTTTTGTTATTAACAGCAGTAGACGGGCGACCATCACGAAATTCATTACTGAGATTGACACAACCGCGTTTGATTTCTGCAAACCAGCTATAAATAGTCGTCTTGCATGGTGCTTCATCGCCAAAAGCAGTTTGAAGCCAAGCAAAGCTCCACTGAGCTGTTAAATTACTCTTGAAGGCGTAGAAAATCATACTAAATTTTCACTAGTTAAATCCATGGTGATGTAGAGAATCAGTTTTAAAATGACGCTACAGTGTAAAAACAAGTGACAGTCAGATGAAACAAATTGTATTCTACAGCCAAAGAATTCCATTTTCAAATGTTGAAATTAATTTTAAATATTGTTTATGTAAGTGGCCAGTTCCGGAAACTTATAGTGCGCCCTATGTACTGCAGTTCTTGCCACTAATTTACTTGTAACATAGCGAAAATGGTAATGGTAACACCAACAAGTTGAAAAACGAAAACGATTATCAGTAATTTTATGATTGCTTGCAACACGGTCACTCACTAGCGACACAAAGTAATGAGTAGGTGGCTTTGTGTGAAGTTACAACGTTATCTAAACAATCCGAGATCACACCAATACAAACATTACGTCTACTATCTAGGTCTAAAAGTGGATGAATCGTAAAATAGACTGGTCGATAGCCTCCGAGTTCTATTGCATAGGAAAAAGCTTTGTCCCGTTCTAGGTAACTAAATTTAAAAGCAGATTCTTTTTTAGACGGATATTTTTAAGTTTTTTTAATAACGTGCACACTCAAAATACGAATAGTCATATTTTAATACTATCGCGGTGTTTTTCTGTAGTGACTTAAACAACCTTACACTTCCTTTTTTGACATCTTTCTTTACGATTTTCCGAATGAGTTTGTTAATTATAGTCACTTTCGCGTGATCAGATTTCTCTAATAGGCCGTCTCTTTTATTCAGAAATAGTTGCGTTTGTGTCGCTAAGATTGCATTTCTTGTTCTACATCTGTGATGTTGTCAACTAGTCCTAGTTTTCGTCAGCCGTAAGTTGCTTTCTCAGACCATTTTTGTAGGGCTCCTGTTGTATTCTAAGAAATGTAGCGTCTTGTACGGCAGGGCTAGACGTGACCACGAGCTTTGGTCTTTCTAACTTTGAGAGACCTTTATTAGAATCTGATTCTGTTTGGAAATAATTCGACAATGGTAAAAGCTCATACATCAGCAAAGTTGAAGCCTGCCCAGTCTCAAAGTAGTTTTATTTCGCTTGCGAGAATTGTAGCTAGTTCCGTCCCCTATTTTGTTGATCCTTTTTTTGTGAAACATTTTGTTTATTATAAAAATATGATCTAGTCCTTTAACACCATAGGTTCAATGAGTTATAGATGGTCGCTACTGACTGCCATTGCCTGCACGTAAAAAGAACCCTTAAGGTGGTAGTAACGCGTCAACTTTATCAACAGTACATACACATCATCACGCCTGACTCCCATTAAGATAGACAGATGGTTCACAATCAAGATCTCTCAGAGAAAAGTTTAAGGAGACTGGTGTCATGACTGTGGCATCTAGTTACATTTACTCAAATATTTTGTGTTTATAAAACTAAACATAAGTTCATTACGAAAGAAGATATCCATATTAACCTTAGAACTAAGTCCAAACTCATGGTACCACAATTTCGATTCCTTTGTGAGGAACTGTATACGTTTTTATAATAAGATTCCGGAGCATATATTAAGATATTTTCATATTATAAAATTCAAGAGTATGTATCAGATAAAGATATATGGAAAAACAGCACGATCTAGATACAATACAATTATGATCCAAAGTTATGGAATA